TGTCGCCGCCAAGCGCAACGGCGCGGACGAGGGTTTCGGCGGGCGCGGCGTGCGGGCCGACGCCGTAGCGGGCGATGAGGTAGAGGACGGTGGGAATCGCGTCCGAGGTTCTGATCTGGAACCATTTGTCAGTCCAGCTCTGCAGCAGTTCTTTGTCGGTGGGCACAAAAACGCTCTCTGGATGCGGCGCGTCAGGCGCGACGCTCGCAAGGGCCTCGGCCACTGTGTGCATGTTGGTCTTGAGCGGCTCGGTGGTTGATGCGGCAGCAAGCGCGCCAAACCAGGTCGGGCCATCGAGCGTTGCCACATCGTCGGCAGAGACGTGAACGGCTTGCGCGACGGCGGCAGCCAGCAGGGCCGCGCCGTCGATAGCCTCGGGATGGGTGTGGGTGCACGCAATAGCAGCGGCGACTGGCTGGCGGAGGGACTCGACCACACGTGCGAGAGCATCCGGGTCTCCGGAAGACTCACCGATGCGCGGAATAGACACCGATTGCGCGCAGGCAGCATACGCAAGGCCGACTGGAGCGATGCGCATGGCGCCGCCGTTGGCGTACGAGCCGCCGGGCATGGCGGACGTGCCTGCCCCGGTCTCGTCGACCGACGCACCACGCGCGAGCGCAGCCATCTTGGCAAAGGTGTAGCCCGAGTATCCACCGCGAGCGCCGCGGGCCCACCAGTGGGCCATACTCAGGGCAGCATGGCGACGATGGACGCCGCGGCATGCAGCGATGGACTCGGCGAGCGAAAAGGTGGCCTCGGTGTCGTCGGTGTACTCGCCAACAGCCGACGGGCCGAGATCGACGCCGAGTTCCACCGCCGCTAGCACAGCATTGGGAAAGGAGCGCGAGTCGGCGACAGACCACGGGCCATCCGGCATCACCTGTTGGACCATGGCCATGCTCTCGCCTTCAAAGGGAGCTCCGAGAACGTCCCCGGCGAGGGTGCCGAGGAGAGCCCCATGGAACGAGGCTTCCATGCAATTACTCTCCTGGTTTGTGGTCACCGCCAGAAGGAACGCATTTCTGCAGAAATCGCTACCTTTTCAAGCGCTCGCCATCAAAACAGGCATGTGTCGCAACCGACTGGCTGAGGCCACCACTCCGCCACAAGGCTGGAGAGGCGGTAGAGCTTGCATCATGGAGTGCGTGGCAAGCGATCAAATGGTGGGAGAGGGCGAAAATGTGTGGAGTTGGCTGCCAGACGAGCTCAAGCTCAAAGTGCTGATGGAGATGATGCCCGATGGACGTCGCGGTGGTGGTGCCGACGAGCGGTCGAAGCGGCGGCTCGCCTGGTTTGCGAGGGTGAGAGAGGATCAAACACGATCAGACTTTCGACGGAAGCATGCGCTGCCTGCGGTGGCGGCGGAGGGGATCATGGGGCGGACGGCGGTGTTCTCGCAGGCGGAGCTGCTGCGGCTTGCAGGCGTCTGCCGCGACATGCGGCGGATTGTGTGGGACGGGACGCTGTGGCGGGCGCTGCATCTAGCGCCGGTGGTTCGGTCGATGGGGACGGCGCCTGTGCTGGCGGAGCTGCTGCCGCGGATCGGCGGCGGACTGCGCGAGCTCTCGCTGGCGCGATGCGCATCGCTGGGCTTGGCGGCTTCCGCGGTGGCAGCTTGCCCACGGCTGCAAAGTTTGGACTTGACCGGGGTCTTTGTCTCGTCGGCATCACCTGCCGGGGGCGGAGGCGGCGGGGTTGACCTCGCGGGCCTCCTTGCGCCGCTGGGTGGACTGGAGGTCCTTGTGCTTGACGAGTGCATGCTTGGAGAGAGCGATCTACAGGCTATCGAGAGCTGCGTGCCGAAGCTGCGTGTGCTTTCGCTTCGCGATGTGCGTGGCGTGATCCAGTCGCCGTCTGCGGTGTCGCCGCTGGCGCGCGCGCCGCAGGCGCTCGAGGTGCTTGCGCTCGACGGGTGTTGGCGGATGAGCGAGGCGCTGCTGCTTGATGTGGTGCGCAAGCACGCGGACAGTCTGCGGTCGCTGTCTGTGGCGCGGTGCTCTGACGCGGTGAGCAATGCTGCGCTGGTGGCGATCGGCGAGGCTGTGGGGCGGGAACTGGAGGAGGTGATCATCGATGGGTGCGTCAAAGCGTCGTCAGCCGGAGTGGTGGCGCTGGTGGAGGCGTGCGAGGGGCGGGCACTGAAGACGCTCTCGCTCGGACACTGCGACTTTGTCCGCGACGAGGTGGTTGAGGCGATCGCGCGGGCTACGCCCAACTTGACGTATCTTTCACTCGAGGGCTGCCACCGACTCAACGACGAGGCAGTGTGCGCGGCGCTGCGCAGGCTCGACTCTGCGAGCGGGCTCGTCTCGCTCAACCTCGCGCGGTGCCGCAAGCTCACCGACAATGTCCTCCACACGCTGGCCGACATCGGGGTCATGCATCTGCAGTCGCTCGACATTTCCGAGTGCGGGTACATGCGATCGCGGACGCTGATCGAGCTGGCGGGCGTGACGCCTGCGATGCGGCGAGTGCGGCTGCGGCGGGTGAACAAGGTCTTCACCTCGTCGTTCATGGAGCTGATTCCGCTATGGCCCAAACTCGAACTCATCGACCTGTCCGGTGACTCCAGCCTGCGCAACGAGGCGGTGCTGACCATGATTGCGGCGTGCCCTGAGCTGCAGATTGTTGACCTCTCTGCGTTGCGTATCACCGACGAGGTGCTGGAAGCGATAGCAAGCGGGCTGCCGAAGCTTGTGTCGCTCACACTTCGGCGGTGCCGGATGATCACCGACGCCGGCGTGGCGGCGCTGGCGGGCGGGTGTCCGGCACTGGCGTACGTTGACCTGTTCCGGGCGACCGAGGTGAGCGAGGCCGGGTTCGAGGCGCTCGCCAGCCGCGGGGTGTACGTCAACGAGTGGGCTGTGCCCAAGGCAGCGGAGGAGCAAGGCAACAACGCGCTCGGCAACGAGGCGTTCTGGGGTGCACGGGAAATGATGTCAGCTCACGGTGACGCCCATTTTCTTCGGGCAATTGCGCGGCTGGAGGGGAGGTGAGCTCACATAAAGTCATCGTCGTTGTCGGATGAGAGGATGGGGTCCTGGCGGAGCGGCGACGAAACGATGACAACATGCTCCGGTGAAGCGGGCGGCGAGGGCTTGTGCGACGGCTGTGCGGGCGGCGGCGGGCTGCAGCTCGACGAGACTCGGCGGAGCCGCGAGGGTGTGTGGTGCGTGACAAGCGGTGAGACGCCCGACTCTGTGGAGAACGAGGTGATCGAGTCGTGCAGAGATGACGAGGCCGGCGAGTTGGCGGCGAGCGCGGGAGCAAGCGGTGACGGGAGCGGCGGCGCGGGTCGGGCCAGCGTCCGAGTGACAGGCATGGCGACGACGGCCGAGGCCGAGGCACGGGCAGCTTGCTTGCGCTTCTTTGGCGCCCGCGACGTCTTGCGTTTGGACGTCCGCTTGCGGGTTGTCTTTTTCTTTGCACGCGAGCGCTTTGCGGGTGCCTTGCGCGCGAGCGACTTTTGGCGCTTGGCCGGAGGCGGGGGCACGTCGTCAGGCAAAGGATCGGATGTGGGCGCAGAGACGGTCGAGCGCCGCTTGCGCTTGGTCGTTGTGGGGGCAACAAGGGCAGCAGGCGCCTCAAAGGCCATCTTGCCGTTGAGCATGGCGTTGAATCGGGTGCCGCGGGTGATGTAGGCGTTGACAGAGCGGGAGGTCGACTTGCAGGCAAACTGGAAGACTCGGGCGGAGAGGAGGCGCATGATGAGGCGCTGGGCGGCAGACTCGGAGAAGCGGGTGAGCTTGGGAATGTCCGGCGAGTAGTTGTCCTTGGACCCAGTGTGGCGCCAGGCCTTTGCTGCCTGGACGACGGTGAGCATGGCGCGCTTGCGGCGGACGCGCGAGCCGAGGGAGGCGATCTGGCGGCAGAGGGCGAGGGCGTCGGGAGTGGCGTCGACGAGGAGCGGCTCAGCGACGGCACCGGGCTGGACCGACGAAGCGATGATGGCATCTGCCAGGGCAGCACAGTTGTCGCACTGCGAGCAGCGGGCGTCGAGAGCGTCGCCAAAGTAGGCGGCCATGAAGCGGGCGCGGCAGTCCTGGACAGCCTCACAGTACTCGAGCATGGAGAGGAGCTGCTCGTGCTTGGCCTTGTCGTGCTTGCACATGCCGGCCTGTCGGACAATGTCTGCGGGGCGGTAGAAGAGGATGCACGAGGCTGGGAGGCCATCGCGGCCGGCGCGACCGGACTCTTGGTAGTAGGCGGAGATGTTCTTGGAGACCGAGTGGTGGATGACAAAGCGAACGTCCTTCTTGTTGATGCCCATGCCAAAGGCGATGGTGGCGACGATGATGCGGACGGCACCGGACTTCCAGCGGGTGTGTGTGCGACGACGAACGCTGTCGTCGAGGCCCGAGTGATAGGGGAGAGCGGATGAGCCCGGGACTGAGGCGATGACAGCGGCGACGCGCTCGGTGTCGGCCCGGGAGAGGCAATAAACGATGCCGGAGTTGCCGGCACAGGGCGGGGCGGCGAGGGTGGCGAGGAGGGCGGCGTCCATGTCTGCGGCCGAGTCGGGCTTGGTCACAACCGAGTAGCGGAGGTTGGGGCGGAAGAAAGAGGAGACAAAGACCTCTGACTGCGGAATCTGAAGGATGTTGAGGACGTCTTTGCGGACGGCGACAGTGGCGGTGGCGGTGACGGCAAGAATGGGCACCTCGGGGAACTGCGACTTGAAGATGCCGAGCTCGCGGTAGTCGGGGCGAAAGTCGTGGCCCCACGCCGAGCAACAGTGGGCCTCATCGATGACAACCCGTGAGAGGAGACCGTCGTCGTACATGCGCTCAAAGACGTCGATGAGCGTGGCGGAGCGCTTGAGCTTTTCGGGTGTGACAAAGAGCAGACGGATGCTGCCGGTGGGCGAGGTGATATCACGGACGACAGCCTTGTACTCGGCAGCCTTCATCGAGCCCGCGAGCGCGGCGGCGCCGATGTCAAGAGCAGCGAGCTCCGCGACCTGATCCTGGATGAGGGCAAGGAGCGGCGAGACGACAATTGTGACGCCGGGTGCCAAAAGGGCCGGGAGCTGGTAGCAGAGCGACTTGCCGCCGCCGGTGGGCATGACGGCAAAGACATCGCGGCCGGCAAGGGTGGCGTTGATGACACCGCGTTGAACGTAGCGGAAGGCCGAGAAGCCAAAGACCGACTCCATGGCCTCCTGAACAGGCTCGTCCCAGTCAAAGTTTCCGTTGGCCCAATCGCGGCGGCCCGACTCGAACTCGAGCATGTTACGCTTGTCGAGCAGCTGCGCCTTGCGCTCCTCCAGCTGGACCATTTCGGCGCGGAGCGACATGATCCGCTCCGAGATGGAAGCAATCTGAGTGTCGAGCTCAGCCATATGAGCCTTGGCGCGGAGAGCCTCTTGTGGCACGGCAGCAGGTGCTGATGCAGCAGATGCGACCGAGTGGGTGTGTGCGGGAGGCGGCGAGGCTCGGCGAAACTGCGGTGACTCGGGAACGAGCTGCGGCGAGTCGAGATCGCCAAAGTTGCGACTATCTCGAAGGGTCGGCGCCAATGGAGGGGTCCGCACATGGGATGGTGGTGGTGGTGGCGATGGAGACGGAGATGGAGACGGGGATGACTGCGGCTGCGGCTGGGACTGAGGCTCGGGCGAGATCAGCGGCGACACGAGGGTAGGTTCTGGCGACGCAGGTCGGATTCGATCCTGGTCTCGAGCAGGGAGCAAGCGGGTCGCAACATTCTCGTCCGCATCCGAGTCTGACGAAGAGCTCGAGATGGAAGGCATCGAGAGATCTGGCGAGAGGCCAGGCGAGAAGGCGAGAGAAGGAAGAAGAGGCGAGAGACGTCGCCGTCCACCTCTGCGATGTGACCTATCCCCAGGCGCCGCTATCAGTGGCTGAGTACCCTGGGATGGGCTTGTGTCTCTTGCAGGAGGGACAGCTTGTCCTCGAGCTTGGTTCTGTGCCACCCATTCGTCGTCGCCTGTGAGGTCGACGACGTCGCCCATGGCTTTCACGACCTTTTCCGGATCGTGTCAGCAGAGGCGGGGGTGGACGAGAGGGTGGGGACAGCGCGGCTGGCCTTGTGCGGGTTGCAGAGGGTGAGCTTGCGGGAGAGGAGGGGAGGGTGAGGGGCGGAAGGGGTGGAGTGTGGCAGTGTACGGGTTGGGTGGTGTCGCCGGTTGGTGTGTATGTGGGGGAGGGGGGGGGGGTTGGGGCGACGGGGCTTGCTGGGAGGATGCTACTGTGGCCCGGCGAGAGTGACGGCCGCATGGGGGGGGGGATGGCTACGATGCAACGTTGAGGATACGATCAAAGTCCCAGCGCTCGGCAGGATGAGTTGCAGCTGCAGCAGAATGAGGTATCGATGGCGATGATGACGATGTGGCGTGGGAGGCGGGCGGAGCAAAGAAGGCGCCGATCTCGGAACGGAGAAAGGCCTCAGCGACGCGGAGCGGGGCGTGGGCGGCAGGCAGCGATGGGATGCGGCCAGGGAGAGGGAGACGCGGCGAGGGTGGGGACGAGTCGTCAGTCAGTGACGGCGGCGAGGGGGGATTGGGTGAGGTGGCGTAGGTCTGGCGGCGGAGCCAGGCGACGAGATCGTTCGGTGGCGGGGATGACGGGGTGACTGTTCGCGGGCGGTGCGGCGGTGAGCGGGGCGCGGGGGCGGGCGCGGGAGCGGCAGCAGGAGCGCTTGTACCAGCAAGGAAGGCGTCGATGACGCCGTCGATGACGCCATACTTAGATGCGGTGAGGGAGGGAGAGCTTTCCGGCACATCAAGATGCTCGTCCAGCTCGGAGGAGCCAGCCTCGGGCGTGGGTGATTGATGCGGCTGTTGCTGCTGCTGCTGCGAGGTTGGCCGGAGATGAGGAGGAGCGTTCTTGGGAACCGCGATGACAAAGTTGTCCAGCGGATCGACGCTAGCGGGATGCTGGGTGCGAGTGCGAGCGCGAGCGCGGGCGGCGCGGATTTCGGCTTGGCGGACAGATGCTGCGGAATGCGCGCTGGAATCGGCAGCAGCCTGCTCTGCGGCGTACCGGCGCTTGTCGGCAGCAATCTGGTCGCGGATGCGCGACTTGACCGATGCCAGCTTGCGCTTGCGGACCTTGGCGGCCTTGGGACTGGGCGGCTGGGTGACAGGCTTGGAGCGGCGGGTGGTAGCTGGCCGGGCGCGGTTGGCGTTGGATGACGGCCCGAAAGGAATGGACATGGCCACCGGCTTTGGGCGTGAGCTCGTGTCACGAGTAGGCGGTTCGTGAGCGACGGGGCGGGTAGTGGGGCGAGTAGCGGGGCGGGTAGCGGGGCGAGTAGCGGGGCGAGTAGTGGAGCGACTGCGGGGGCGGCCACGGCCACGGCCACGGCCACGACTGCGACCGCGACCACGGCCACGGCCGCGGCCGCGGGAGGGGCGAGTTGGATGGGCCGAGTGGGCGGGAGCGGGAGCGGGAACGGGAGCGGGATCGGGATCGGGAGGAGGATCGGGGTCATGGGGGAGAAGTTGGCGACGGACTTGGCGGGACTTGTTGGTACGGGAATCAGCAGAGGTCGGGCGAGAGTGCGCGGGTACCGAGTCAGAGTCTGAGTGAGGGTTGGCGGGAGCATGATGCACCTTACGGGGGTGAGGGTGACGAGGTTGTACAGGCGGGAGCTGTGTGGGAGCAGCAGATGTTGAGGGATGCCGAGCAGCGTCAGTGCCAGCAGCACCAGCAGCACCACTGGCAGCAGCAGCAGCAACAACAACAGCTTCCAGTGTGTCTGTGGGAGGTGTCTGTGGCCACCAGGCCGGATACACCCGGTTGCGAAGGTGGGCTCTGTCTGGGGTGACAGAAGGGTCGTGGTGAGAGTGTGGACGAGCTTGTGCATCCGGCGAGCCTCCTTCCCGCCACCGGGATGAAGGTCGCACAGCTGCCATGATTAGAGTGGTATGTGTGTGTGTGCGTGAGGTGTGTGTGTGTGTGTGTGTGTGTGTGTGTGTGTGTGTGTGTGTCGCTCGTCGTCGGTTGGGTTCGGGTTCGGG